TTAAAATGAATAAAAAACAACTTTTTTCTCTTGTGTATTTTACGGACAATAATGCACATGTTCTCTGTTGCCAACAATCTAGATGCCGACCGATTACCCCCCGGTCACTGCATCTGATCACTGGAGACGAAAGGTACGAACAGTATTTAATCGCTTCGATTCGAACAACGACGGCATCATTACAAAGGAGGACTTCGAGGCCAGCGCCAGGCGCACCATAGAGCTTCTTAAACTCAATGGTATATTTAGAATTACATCTGGATTTGATTAATCTAGGTTCTCAAAAGAATTTTGTGCAGTAATTATGATCATAATCTTCCATGACTCCGTTCTGCCTCTGTCTCACTGTTTTTCTCTCAAAGACCGCATAGATGTCCTTTTCATTATAGCTCTATATTGAAACATTTTAGCAATATCGAACATTTTTATTATTTTTATTTTGAGAAAACTCCCCCCCCCCTTTTTTTTAGCTGAACAAGCAGCAAATATACTTAAACTACGCCTCGAAGTATGGGAGTCTCTGTCCAGAGGTTCCAAGGATGTTTCTCAAATAACAGAAAAGGAATTTGTGGGGGTTGATCCTTCGGTCGTCAATCAAAGTACCTACCGGAAAGAGTTCTTCCCAATGTATGTGTCCGTGGGTTTCAAGGTCATGGACATTGATGGTGATGGTCTTGTAACAAAGGATGAACACGCTGCTTATTTCTACAGCTTGAACGTCCCTGTTGAAGAATCGAAGAAGATGTTTGACGTAATGGACATTAACAAGGACGGTTTCATATCCATTGATGAGTACGCGCATGCGTATGCGGAGTTTGTTTTCACCGAGGATCCAAATAACAAATACAATGGGTTTTACGGTTCGTTAGTTGATTGAAGAACACAATTTATATTTAATGAAGGTGACATAATACATGTGTAATATAAAAGATATACAATCTAGCGCATAATCTTTCGCCATTTATTGGAAGCCACAACATAATTTGTTGACAATTTCAGTCCAATTCTTTTTCAAGTATGAATGTGAACTAAAACACCACCTGTAATGGATTTACTTTTCATTGTATACGTGTTTTTCCACAAGTATGTAACTATGGACTCCAAACCCAGATTATAGGAATACAGGTTTGTTATAATATAATATAATATAATATAATATAATATAATATAATATAATATAATATCATGTATGCACTTGTAGTATAAAGACCTATTAAAGCATGATTAAAATAAGTTCGAATGACATTTATAATTTTTAGGAGTCAGTTACGCGCAGGTGGTACCGTGAGATCCGTGTTTGCTTGGGTCCAGATTCCCCTTCAGTTTTAGTGTTATGACATTTGACATCCGTTTAAATTCTGCCACCCGTTTTTGGCACCCATTTTCAAAGACTGTGACTGAGATAACCCAAAGTCTCGCAAACCTGATAAGAACTGAATCAACCGGGAGTTCCCAGGATTTGAGGGGAGAGTCGGACAGAAATACTGGTAAATCAGCGTGGTGCGGCAAAAATGTCATCCATGTGCTAGTATTCTCGGTTGTTTTCTACACTAGTGGATCCATTACAATTTTATGTTGCTCAACAGTACCAGTACACCACGCTTTATGTGCTACTATTGTATTGCTTTCCAAAACGACAATGCCGGGGGAAAAAGCCTCCCCTTGTCACTGGAACGTTTACCTCACCCTTCGCCGATGCTCGTGTGTTACCTATGTCAAATGACGTGACACAGTGCCTGGATCCTTTTATGCTAACCTGGACGATTTTCTTTGGTTTGAATGCCTTCCCTCCTCCCACAGGATAGATTACACTTCTTGACATAGTCATAGAATTAGACGGAGTATTGGGGTTGATATAATTTATGGGACAATGTTGCCTGTACATGTACAAGGTAATGGGGAACGAACTTGTGTACTACCATCCCATTAACAAAACTACTTCACCGGTGTAACGAAATTAAGGGTCCGTGTAACAGAAAGTCCGAGCTCTATTTAGTTATAATGGTACGGGTTAGCCTGACCTAAGTGGGTCAAAATCTTTTAAATAATAAGGTTTTTTAATAATTAGGGCATTAGTAACATTGTAACCGTCAGATAAATGTGTCTGAATAAAATTATACAATAAGATATACACATAAAGGGTTTATATTAAGATGAAATTGAGTTCGTAATAAAACACAGATCTCTAAAAGTTGGTTAAAAAATACAATTTTTCGCGATCGGAAAAGTTCGGTCTTTATTAATTGGTACATTAAAGTTGGATTGATTATGTGTTATCTTTATGTATGACAAGTACCCGGGTCAGAAAATAACCAACCTGTCATAGCGGTAAAGTCACATGTTGTGACAGTTTGATGTACAGACAATTAAAAAAACGTAGTGCCCATCAATTGAATGCCGTCCACCTTTACAAGCGATCATCAATTCTTACAGTCGGCATGACGTCACAAGATGGCCGCCACGCCCGGACTAGGGTAAAACAATCTGTAAGCTCCATTGCTCCCCATGTTAAAATGATCAATTTTGATCGTCTGTATCTCTCACACCGGTAGATNTGTAAACTCTCTAAAACTATAACTTTTATTACCCAATGAACAAGAAAAATGAAGTACAAGATAACTGAACTAGCTTCTGACAACATTCCACGATGTTGGGATACAGGGGTAGGTCAGGATTTCACGTCTTTGGACTGTCTTGAGTTTATATGGGTCGATCACGCTGATAAGCTGAAGTTTTCACATGTATATACTATTTCCTTTTGGTGTACTTGATCACGATATGAAGATTATTTCATTTTATCTGGTTTACCTATATTTACGCTACTATTCCCCGTCGTTCTTTCCCTCCAGAATGGCCGCTGGACGAGTGTTACGGAGCAAATATGACGTCACTGTAATGGGTTAGTTACAGTTCTGATTGTTTTTCAGGTAAGAAGTTCCAATATGGCTTTGTTATCGGATGAATCTGTCCACTGACAGCGATTGAACAGAACTTACCTGGATCCTCAAACAATCATAGAGCCCTTTGAGGTGGTTTAATTGGAAGAAAGTGATCTTATCAGTTGGTGTCATTGTAGCAAATAGAACTAAAACAGATATGATCTTCACAGGTGTGGTCATTGTATTTGTCTTTGAAAAGGGGAGCTGAAAGAAAGCTCTAATGACAATTTACTAGTCTGATTTTATTACTGAAAGTACATGCCATTTTGAGAATTTGAACAATTTTTTCTAGTAATTTTTAATACCCATGTTGCTGCAGACAGAATTGAGATCATGGACAGGAATAAAATTTTTACATACTCAATAAATCATTTAATTATTGTACTATGAAGTGTGTTAATGGCAATAATGTGCTATTGGAACAGAAGTAATACTTTTTCTTTGTGATGTTGCACACTTTCATCAAGAGGATAGAATGCAAGAAAGGCTATCAATGCACATACTGCAGTATATGAACTGGAAGAAACAAGCGAGTGGAGCTGTTTGCTGTGTAAAATCTATTAACCCATGCAAATAGAAAAAAACACTCAGCAATCAAATTTTTGTTATGGATTCAGTGTTTTTATCCTTTGGACACTACTGTTATATTTGCTTAAGTGTTTTATATCATAGAAATTCTAATTCATTTTTACTGTACAAATGTTAATTCAGAATGCAACTTTACAGCATATGTCAAGGAATTTTATAACTCCTTTCTTACATACCTTATAGATAGAAATAAAATGTAAATTTAAAGTCAAGTTTTATTGTATCTTTCATTTTGCATTTTGTTTAAGAATTCAAAGTGATTTATGACGGTTAAATATGCATTCAATTCGGATTTTTATAGATCGTACTTTGTATTGCGAGTCTGATGTTCTAAAAATGAAAATGAAATCACTACCTTATAAATTTATATTATTTTCTAAAAAAAAAAAAAGAAAACACCATGAACTTCATTTACTGTAGCATCAGAGTCAAAAATGATTTGTAGATTTTGACAACTTATAAAGATTTAAGTGAGGCTTTCATTCAAAACTTTTTGTTTAATTGGATAATTATGGATGAATCTATTTATGAAAAATAATTTTGGCGGGCCTCTAATGAAATTTTTTACGTTTTTGCAGAAATTATAAAAGCTGAAAAAGTATTTCATAGTCTCTTCAAACATAATCCAGACAACAGTAGAAAAAGAAATTTTAATGAAAAACACAGCAGTGACAAATTAAAATTCTTTTTGAAAGCACATTAATTGCATTACTTGAGACACCTGCTTTGAACACGACAGGTGAGCAATGCTACCCAAGCCCCCTTTTCTAGCTTATCAAATCTTTCAAACTGAGACCTCTAAAAGCAATATGAATAAGTAGTTTTCTTTGTTTATATAATGATTATATTATACAAGAATTCTGACTGTATATTAATGAACTGGGTGCGTATAGGTAATAGTGTCCCAGTAGGAAAAATTGCTTTGAATGTAGTACACCACCATCGTTGATAAAGTCGCCACTGACGCTAGAAAATCCTTTTGATGGCCATTTCCCTGAGCTAAATACGTAAGTGAATATCAACAAACAGTTGTCACGCGTATTTGTTCACAGATATACTTGATACAGACGATAAAATATACCTATTACAACATGCATCTGGTGTAAACTGAAATTGCAGCCCGTTGGAGGAGTGTTGGTATTATCGCTGATAAAATCACCATCAGCTCTAGAAAATCCTCCTGAGGCCCATTGACTGACGCTAAAAACCCTAGGGAATATAACCAAGTGGTTGTCACAAGTAATTGTCCTCTGGTCTGCTTGATATAAACGATCAAATCTCACCAATTTAACATTGAGAGTAATGGGCGCAAGCCAATGTTTTACCCTAGTCCAAAATGAGAGCCTCGTTCTGGGTTCAGTAATCCGGTAACCGACTGTAAGANGAGACGATAAAATATGCCTATTACAACATGCATCTGGTGTAAACTGAAATTGCAGCCCGTTGGAGGAGTGTTGGTATTATCACTGATAAAATCACCATCAGCTCTAGAAAATCCTCCTGAGGCCCATTGACTGACGCTAAAAACCCTAGTGAATATAACCAAGTGGTTGTCACAAGTAATTGTCCTCTGGTCTGCTTGATATGAACGATCAAAGTTCACCAATTTAACATTGAGAGTAATGGGCGCAAGCCAATGTTTTACCCTAGTCCAAAATGAGAGCCTCGTTCTGGGTTCACTAATCCGGTAACCGACTGTAAGAATACAAAAGTTTTCAACCAACATGTATATATTGTGTTTGTCAAGTTATTTAATTAATTCATTCCTTCACTACACCAGATGGACTCGGAGAGATAAGAATTATATTGTAGTTGCAATCTGCTTAAATGAGCAAGGTTAAATGTTGACACAATTCATTCCAAGGGAGTTCAACTAAATCACCAAGATTAAGATGGTGAAAGTTGACATCTTTAGGCTCATTTGCTATGAAAATTTCAATCTACATAGATCAGTCCAACTTAGCAGGGACTCTCGCTGAATGCAATCAGATTAACAGATTAACATGCCTCTTCTTGTTTCTAGCATACTCATATAATCACCAGCTTTTTTGTATTTTAATCAATTCCAGGAGGAGGCATGTTACTCTCTTAATTCTAATTGAGTCCTTAGGCTTGAACATAGTTTACAGTGTATTACAGTATGTCATTTTCCTGATTTAAGGTAGAGCTCATTTAATTTTACAACAGTTGTGATAAAAAATTCTATAAAATCCTTCTACTTTTCAGGCTTAAAGGAGAGCATATGACAGGAGATGGAAAAAACATAGACTATGTCGCACTGAAAAGTAGTAAAACATTTGCAGAATATAAAGAAAAATCAAAGGCCTTGGCACATGTGCAATTGGAATCTTTTTCTGAAGAAGAAAAAATTGCATTTTGCATAAGTATCCTTAACATTTACAGAAAAAAGTTGGAGGCACTGTAATTAATAGCAAAATGATTTCAGTTAAGAATTTCGCCCATTAGATAGCCCCCTTCCTTGGATTTGATTTGATTATAAAATTTGATTGATCTGTACAGCATGATCAGCTGTTTGGTAAGGACACCATTTTCAAGATTGTTATTCTTTAACAATCACACAGATGTCTACAATGCTCTCACAATACACGGCCTGGTGGAAGTATCAGGCAAAGATCTTCCTTCTTCTGTGTTGGATATAAAACAGTTCTGGAAAACCACAGGATATAACCTTGGGGGTCATGTTTTCAGTTTAGATCATATAGAACATGGGATTCTAAGAGGTGAGATGACAGTTCTGCATTCTGTTTTAGATTTAATGTTTTAGAAAGTAACTTCCATTAATGATCAAAGTAAGTAGTAATTTGTCTTTAATATTTATATTTCATAAAAAGAAGCATTAAGATGTAAAAATTTTAATATTACTATTATCATGGATTTCAAATATATTTTGATTTTGCAAAATCTTGTTGATGTATATGGCTTAAATGACATTTTAAAACTTGATTGGAGATGTCATGTTTAGTTACAGACATGAGCTTTTTCTGTGGAATTTCACATTTTACATGACCTCAGAGCATATAAAACCCTAAAATTTAGTTTAAGGTTTGTTTGGCCCCATAATTTATGTTCATAGTTTTTTCTAAAACCGTGGCTCTTGTCTGATGTTAGTTGGATATACTTTCTAACATCTAGTCAGTGGGCACATTTATTTGCTGGTATACATCTGTTCTTTTATGTATTTCTCAGGAAACAGGCCCCACCCTGCAAGCCAGGATAGTCCATTTAAACAAGACGACCCCCGGCTCAAATATGTAGTGAAGACGGTAGACCCTAGGATACATTTTGCACTTAACTGTGGAGCAAGGGTGAGCTGGAAATCAATAATAAACAGAGATAATAGCTAGACATACTGTTATGTAAAACACTCAGACAGTTATCATCATATTGATCATAAGAATTATGTTTCCATTAGTCTAACTAGAGAATGCATTATGAATAAAGCATGATTTCTCATTTCCAAGCCAAGGTTAACAAGGTCACAGGTGCGAGGATCACTGATTTTTCAGCTAGGGCACCTCAAAATGAAAATAAATTTGTCAAAAACTCTTAGGTGAATACATCTTTTTTTTTTGTATGTTGCTTCTTGAAAGATGCCCTTTTATTATATAACCTGTACTCTCCCTGTATGTCTAGTCATGGGGAGAACACTTAACGCTTGGATATGCATGTGTTTAAGGTCTCTGAGCAAATATATCAATACTTAATGATGTTGCTCAAAGCTGTGCTCATGAACACTTTTGAAGATGCATTACAATCCTTAAACCACATTAGTTCCTCACGTCTAGGGAATACTATTGGATTATGAGCCGACTGAAGGCATATATAATCAGTTTCAACCAATGGTTCAGTCTTATTTAGTGTTTGTAAATATAGCAGTCATTTTGATATCATTTCACATACTTGTATTTGTTAAAGTTAGTGTATTTATTTATCTGATTCAGTAAATTATTGTAGTATTAGTCATCAAAATAGCTGATAATAGCTTAGATATATACTGTGTAACATTGTACCTGGGCTAGCACTGACAGTTGCCAGGGGCTTAACATAACGGTGCTAAATAATATATAAATACCAAAGGAAATTAATTATCATTTTGACACATCTTCATTACTTTATTATCAAATTTGTCTGAAAAGTTAATCCATAATGATAAATGAAAATCAGGAGATGAAGTTATCTATTGAGTGCAGTATTGCAGCTTCAATCTGTTCATCCAATTGTGAGAGAGGTTTACTTTACCAGTATTTGTTTACAAACATTATGAACATTTGGCAACTGTATCTATACTGGGGTAGCGCTAACACTCGCCAATTTAGCCAAATGCTAAAACTGACTTAAATTGGCTAAAGAAAAGGGCTTGATTTGACATGTTTTAGCCAAATTATAACCATTTTAGTAACAAATTGACAAAAATGTGGTGATTTGGCTAAGCGAAAAAAATTGCTAGCGCTACCCCAGCTATAATATCAAGTGTGGCAGTACTTGATCAATAAATTAAATATCAAATGATATCATATTGATCCTAGCTGAGCTGTTTTGTTGCAGTCTTGCCCAGCCATCAATGTGTATACAGCAGAGAACTTGAACAGTGCCTTAGATGCTGCTGCCAAGGCCTTCATAGACCAGGAGGTGTTTGTGAACGTCAAAGTGCGCGAGATCCGCGTGTCCCGGCTGTTCCAGTGGTACAGATCCGATTTTGGCAACATGGACGTTGATGCTATCAGGTACACAGGCACTGTGATTTTTTGCACATCCTGTTGTTTACTACTGTATATTGATATAGTGTGACTGTGTAATCTTTGAAAGATTTTCTGTTTTTATGACTTTTGTTTTTAATTACTGTTGATTGATGTTTTGCCATGTTGGAATGTTCGTTAGTAAAAAAACAAAAAAGATAATTATGCAAATGTTATACAAAATATGCATGCTGTTGATGTAACTCAGCAAAGACTTTTTTGTGGAGTGACCCACACATGTTAACATTGACTTATGTCAGCATTATGTATCCCAGGTGGATCAGGCCATATTTGAGTAAAGAGAAAGCTGAAGAGATGGACATTCTTCTGGACGCTCTTGAGGCCTCGGGTGGTGTCAACATCCAGTACTCAGACTACAACTGGAAATTGAATAAAGTTCTTCCAAAACCTTAGAGCTGAGAGAAAAAAAATTAATTTACTAATTATTATACGTGATAGTGCTTGGTTTGTTGTGTCAGTTCAGGTGATGGTTGGTTTCCAGAGCCTTGTCTTGAGAAACAGACATGATTAAAAATTATTCATTTATTTATTTATTTATTTATTTATTTATTTATTTATTTATTTATTATTTTTTTATGTGTGTGTGTGTGCATGCATGCATGTGGTCTTAGCTCAGTGGAGTCATTTCTTCCTACTTCTTTCTGACAACTCTAAGTTGTGAGTGGGTATACATATGAGGTGATACATAAACTTAAAAGAGACTTGCAATTGTTTGGTGATTTTAATTGAACAAATTATTTATTCAGATTTTATACAAGGTCCTAATGTACCAAGGTGGTTCAGGGACTAGTCTTTGTGAAAAACAAACTTGCTATCAATAACAGGTCCCTAATATGATGTTATTTTGAGTTAGCTTGATGCTGAATAATTCTCAGATAGATTTTTTATTTTCATAGATGGATAGGATATTTATAAATGTAGTTTTAGTTGTTAATACTATATTGAGTAGTATTGGGATGGAACTTGTTTGATTAAAGTGTGAGAGAATGGGCGCAGTAAAACTATCTAGGAGATGTGATGGTCTTCTCTATTCTAGTATATCCTTAAATGAATTTGAGTCGTTCTTTTATTGTTATATTTATAAAAAATACTATTTTCTTTGTAAATGAGCATAGTTTTATTGATGTAAATTAAGCAGCTTTGTATGTATATTGGCTTCTGTATTTAGCTTCTTTAGGTGTGAGAAAGGCTTAAGATTAATTTTTTATTCATCACACCATTTATTTTATACTCAAATCTGATTCATTAGTTTTCAAGCTGTTTGTTATGCTTAAAGGTGCACTCCATAGGTTTGAAAATCCCCCAAATGCTTATTTTTGCCATCCACAGCTTTTTATAAAATCGTACGTACTGCTTAAAATTTTTTTCTGGAGCGTACGTGATGTTGATAGATTTATTGGAGCTTATAGGAAGATGGTTGCTGTTATGACTGGCCAGTCATTATAAGTTTAAATCAACCTTTATAAATTTGATCAAAGGTCGAATCCAAGTGCAGAGAGGGATAGATAAATGATTCCCCCCGAGTACGAGACAATTGCTCATTTTCCTGGGAAAATCCATTTTGGCGGGTAAATCTCATGGAGTGTACTCGTACAGATAACCATTGGACTTCCACAGTAACCATGACAACATACTTGCTCACCTTCAGTCTTATGGTCCTGGATGTCTTCCATTTCCAGTTATGGTACCCCTTACCATACAAATATTGCAGACATGATTTGTTTTTTCCAATTTCAATTGGAAATTTGATTTTTACCTCAAAAAGTTATGAGGTCTCCAAACCCCTGGTCTTAATTTTGTCCGACCTTTTTTCAGAACAACACAAAGTAATATCTTGTGTTGAGATAAGAGCTTGTGTTGCATGTAAGTATCATACTCATTGCCATGTTATTTTCACATAATATACTTTTTCTATTGTTATGCAAAAACTGAAAAAGAATGCATTATTTTTTTATTCAGAAAGGTCTGAGAAGTCATGAAGACGTAGCTAGAATCTATTAGAAGCATTAATTAAACTTGTGTCATGTTATGTTAGATTAAACATACTATCAGGGTATTTCTTGGGTAGCAGATTTTATAAATGACAGAATTTAGAATGCAACATTTGAACACCATTTCAAGTCGATAAAGCTAAAACATTTAAAGTGCCTATTTTTCAGGTCGCACAATATTTAGAACAAATGTTGCTTATTAAAGATACCTTAAAAGACTTCTTAATGCAATTATCCACTTGAAATTTAATGTTATATTTATGCTAACTTCAAGTGTGCAAAAGAGCCCAAGATTAACTTCTTTGTCAAGTTTTATTCATTCCAGAATTGTTCTATTCTGTTTATAAAAATAGATAAGTTACGAGTTGTGAAGCTTTATGGGACAAAGTCTCCACATTTTGCATAAAGTTTCCCATTGAGTGCTTTATCAGACTGACACTATGACCTGAGCAGAAAATAATAGAATAGGCTTCACTGTGTGCTATTCTGTGTTCTTTCATCTTGTGACCACATGAACTTAAGCCTGACCTTTTGTTTTCTGCTTGAATCATGGTATAAAGTAAATGTAAACAACAATGGAGGTGGCTCCATATATTTCACTGTCTAGTCAGGGGGGAGGGTGTGCTACTTGTGCAATTATATACTACATATACTCTGTAGTGCATTGCCATATGGATTTCTTGTAATTTTTTATTGCTGCAGTTCATATCTTCATATCATTTCATACATCTTGGTATCTCATTTTCTTGCTATCATTGCTCATAATGGTTCTTCAATGATGTTAAGTATAACAGACAATAAATAGTTTTAAATGTACATTTGAAATTTCTTTAATTTTTAATTGGAAAAGTTTCCTTCAAATTAAAAAATTTTTCAGTTAGATACTAAAGGCAGATGTGTTGAATAATCCTGACAGATAGTTGGAGTGGAGTTGATGAAAGTTTTTTCAAAATGGCCACACAAAATTAAGAAATTTGTTAGCGAGCTTGACCAACCCTTATTTTAAAGGAACCAATGTTTTCTTTTCAAATGGAAAAATTGCATTGCTTTGGTTAGTGGGCGTAATTTATAATCAATCCCAGAAGACCTTAATACCATTTGCATCCTCTAATGGTACCAACACTGTGAATTTAACCCCCCCCCTCCCTAAAAAAAGAGGGCAACCTCAACATTAAGCTTTCATGGCAATAAAACATTCAAAAAACATTATTTTCATCCAATGACCCTGTGTATGGAGTTGAAACTCGTTAACAAATAAACTACATACTCCACGTCCTGAAGAATTCAGGGGTTCATGAGAGAAGTTGGTATTATTAACCAGGCATTGGTGCATGAATAGATTCCTCTCTCTCACACACACACAAAGTAGCAATAATAAAAAAGTATTATAAAAAATAATGAAGACTAATCAAGCAAACATTGTGTTTACAGTGTATTCAAGCTATTTATGGATGGAATTTTACATTTTCCAACAAATCTTGTTTGAAGAGGCAGAATAATGTCCAGCTTCTTAATATCCTAACAGATGCTTAATCCTAAAATAATACGTAATTACAATTACACAATTATAACAAGGACAGTGAAGTGGACCAATGAGAGGTACTCTACCATATGCAGATGCCTTGTGCACCTTGAAGACTTCGTTTTAAAAAAATCCACACTATAAAAGACCAAAATAATAATCAAATTTTGTACATAGCTGATAAATCTACATATAAATAATGTAATTGTTTATAGCATAATCTGCATAAATTATCAAAGTTCAAATTGTCTTTTAATAATTTTATGTTCCTTTTTCTGGTCCACTACAACTTCTATACAAAGGTTAGATTTTTGTTTGCTTTTACAAGATAATGTCACAGCTATATTATAGTTTCATATGCAGTGTGTTTCATTTTTTCTTGGACCGTGCACTGCGTGTACGTCTTCGCTGAGGTTCAGCTACCTCCAGAATATCCTGGGTGGTGGTCTCTGAAATATCTTGACTTTTTTCTTTTATTCTTGATGAAGTCTGAAAAATGAATACTTAAACTGTACTGAGCTGGACAAAAGGTCTTAGAAACTGCATGATTTCTTACAAAAAAAAAAAAAAAAAAAAAAAAAAAAAAAAAAAAAAAAAAATCAATTAAGTATATTTTCAAAAATTAAGATAAATACAAGGAACCATAGGATTTTTTTCCTAGGTTTTACATTTCTCTGGTCAAAATTTATTGGAACTCAGTTTTTAAGGAATACTTACTGGTGAATGTACATTCCACTTCCGGGGCTTGGGGGTTCTGAAATTGAACAAAATCTTTAAGCACTCCCATATCATCGATATATTCACCTTTTCAAATATTGAATTAGAATAAATAAATAAATGTGTGAAAAAATCCACGGTTGGTATCCAGGCTAAGGTTCAACATCCTGAGAATCGGAGATTACTGTGAACCCCCCCCCCCCCTTTTATCAGCACTATAGTAATAACTGTGAAAATGCTATAGCCATGCTGTAAATTAGAACAATTTTTGACATCTCCAAGACTTTGAATGATGTTCAAGATTTCTCACCCAAAACAGAAGCCACTCTTAGTTACAGAAATTACTAAAAACTCAACTCTATCATCAGTATTTCCAGTTACTCAGGTGAGTCCCCAATAAACTCTAAAACTCTAGGTGAGAGCAGACTTACGGTTTATCTGGGGAAAACATGCAGACAATGTCCGTAGGAATAGTCTTTGGATTCTGATCCTCTCCCTCTTTTGATGCTTTATTTGTTTTAGAACCTGAAAAATATCATCAACATTATTTTAAATAAAATATGAGAGAGAGAGAGAGTTGACAGGTGGTCAAGGAGTATCATTCCTGACCCAAACAAGATTTTACTCTTGGAGACAAGGACACAAAATAGGATATAAGCATGTTTACCTGTGCTGGGGATATTACTACTGTATAGTCTGAGAGGCATGGAAGTAGGGATTGGAGACAATGGCATCATGCTCGTGTCCTGGCCTTGGTGGAACGTCAAGTTACTCAGTAAGCTCGCTGGAAAACCAAATTTTTAAATGAGCATGGTGCAAAAGGAACAATTTTCAAAATAAATCAATCAATGCATAAGTAATGATAATGGATTAAAAGAAAAAAGTGAAAAAGAAATAAAAAATAAACTAGCAAAAGAATAAATAAGAAAAAAAGACATACTATGAAGCACATCCTAAGGAAATTTCAAAATAAAATTATAACAGAACTGATGCAATATTAATAAAAACATTTTGTAACTGCTAAATTATATTAATTTAAATAGTTCACAACTGGCATGTCCATGAGAATAAAGTAATTAAAATCAAAACAATGTGTAGAATTGGAAACTAACCCTCTGGTGTGCTGACAGCTCTGCCTACTCTTTCTGGGGTCTTCTTTGCTCTCTCTTTACTTGTGGGAGTCTAGGTAAAACATTACATCTCAAACTAAAATTATGTTATCTACAAGTTGATGTGTTCCAAACTCTTTCATCGAAATTGCTTAAAATGGGGGGAAAATAACTGATAACAAAAACTGCCAACTTGATAACACTGGTTAAGATTTGCACTGATACTACAAGTAACTTTATTCTATTTCTGAATTAAACATGAAAAACTCACTTTAAATGTGGCCTGGCTGGGTGGGGAGGAGTCCTCGTCCTCCTCTGCAGCGGAGCTGTTTTTTCCCGTCTGTGGTGGAGTGTTCTCTGTAGTTCTGCGCCGCGTGCGCTGTGGAGTGGGCGTGGTCTGCTTCTTATTGCTCATCTCTACCGCTTTTCTCGCAGAGTTCATAGCAGCAATGGCTACCAGGGACATTTTCCTGTGTTAAATATTATATGCGTTGCCTTATTGTTTATTAAGAAAGTGCCACATTGAATAAGCAAAAATAAAAAATAAAATAAAAAATAAAATGAACTAGAAAAGCACTCTGAGAGCGCAGACCTCCGCCAAGGCAGCAAAGTCTCCACCCAATGCCCTTTCACCCCTAAATTTTCATTCTATAATGATTTAGTTTTTTGATTGTTGATTATTGATTGATTATTGATCCTGATCACCACCAAAAACTAATAATCTGTTCCTTGGTCCACTTCAGACAGTTCCTGAAAATTTCATCAAAATCGGTCCATAACCTCCTTAGCGGAGGTAACAGTAATCCCCACCCACCTGCTGGATGTTCCTGTCCTGGTGGCTGGAGAGTTCAGAGCCATCACTGGAGTCTTAGGAATGATTGACCGAGGACGGCTCTGGCCGGGGGACTGGACAGTCACTGCAGGGGGTCCTGCTTTGGGGGAGGTTCCTGGCTGAGGTGACCCCACTGGTGAATTCTGTAATGAGAGGGGGTTTTTTAATTGAAATTCAAGACAAGAAAGGGCCTGTATGATCATGTACATACATTGTTTGAAATGTAGACATGACTTGATGTTTTCAATAGTGTTAATCATGAATTTTACAGCTACTCTATTTTTTAGTCATAAATTCTTTAAATTAGAACATTTCTATTGAGTGTTAGTAACAAAATTTAAGCTAAGCAACAAAAATACTATAAAGAAACAATATAATTTACGAGTCTAAAAGTATGTATCTGAAACTTTGGTAATTTTCCACATTGAAAAAACCGAGTCATTTCTGAACGTAAAATTTCTACTTCTATCCAACTGACCTAATTTGCATTGCATGAATTAAATGTGCAGGCCATAAACAACTGTTTCTTACTGTATGTAACAGGCATACACATGAAATTTATATGTAATACAAGTTAATTGTCTAATTTTCTGCTTACTGGTTTTGATCCACCGAGAGACTTCCTCTGTTGCTGTTGTTTTTTCTGCAGCTCCAGCTCCTCTTGCTGCTCTTCAAACTTACGTAAATCAAACTCAATCTCATTGGCCAGCTGCCTGTCAGCTGACATGATCTCTGAAACCAGCAATTGGAGGAATTATTACACCTATCAATCAATGTCGTTTAAATAACAGAATGAGAACTTGTAGACATAATTCAAATTCATATGGTGTTAATTTTTCAATTTTAGTCCCCATTTATACTGCACCAATATATAAATTAAAATTAAAAACTTTATTAATACATACCAGATTATGTTTTGCAAAAACATATACTCATCATGACTGATGGAATTAAGTACATAATATGTTGGTCAGGGCTTTAGAACACCCACCTTTGACTTCAGTTTTGTAATCTTTCATCAACTCTCTCAGATACATCATCAAATCCTTCAGCACGGGGGAGCGGTGCTTTTCAAGCTGAGCAGAAAAGAATGTTGCGAGATAAATTGTTTTGAATAGATATATATGCAAACACTCAAATATTATGACCTTAAGATGATTCAAAGTTTTGTTTGATTTTTCTAAAATACAACCATGTTACAGTGAAATTTGTAAATGTTGGTGCTTAGATGTAAAATGGATACATATTATCTTATAATTACTGACCAAAATATTAATTAACATTGACTTAGCAACTATTTTCATGATAACTAGGAGACCATCATCTCTGACTGTTTATTTTAAGAGATTATTCTTAGATATCACATCTAGAGTACATACCATGTGCTTCAGGGAAATCACAATGGGAACAATGTTTTCTATCACATTCTTCTTCACCACCTAAAATTATCCAAAATAAATAAATAAATAAATAAATAAAATAAAATGAATAATCCTGTGGTAGACTCCTTTCACTCATACACCAAGAAATAATCACATGAGAATATAAAGTTGTTATATAAAGTGGCTTGAACCTAACTGCATCATTCCACTTAATCAATGCATTTCAAGGACACAAGGTTCCAAAGTCATAGATATTATAGTCTAAGATCTAAAACAGCATACCCTCAATAAAGTCGTGAAAAAAATCATACTATCTTCTAAGCAAGTATATGAAGAATTTTCCCCAATGAAGTTAGAAAACAAAGTTGACAAAGGTCATACCTGTGATATAAGAGTTTTCTTAGCCTTCTCCATCACAGCAGCGGCCATGTCTTGTTCATCTACAGCCTCCTCCTGCTGTGGTCTAGAACGCATACTGGACAGCTTGATCTCCTGCAATAGGGCAGACTTCAGTATTGGATTTGACTCAGTCAAGGAGTTGCATCCAATACATCTCCTTGGCTCAGTTAACTCTACAGGATGGCATACCTTAGCATCACTTATTTATAACTTTTGTTTTAATTAATTGACTGATAATAGAATAGAAAAATTAACATTTTATTTTGTAGAACTTCCCTTGGAGGGGATGGGGGGGGGGCTAATTTTTCATCTTGTGTTATGATTTATTACAGACTTTGTTAAACTTGAGTTTGACAGACAATCTTCTATCGATAATGAAATGCCCTTATCTTTACATCAGAGACAGGGTGTTTTCTAATGTTGTTTCTGGAGGCTGTTCCATCTCCTCACCTTACAACACAGTATAGCCAGGGCATCCTGGAGGAGAGCACTGGTGTCAGGGTCCAGGGGCATCACCCCGTCCACCAAACCTCCCAGGATCTGAAACATATTATCATGAAATAGAGTAATCTTTTTTAATGAATAAAAATAAACACACTTACAACAGCTAAATTGGGAACACGGCTTTTATGGAAAAGTTCTATTAAAGAGACTGTTCATGGTCTCTGGATAGGATGATAAAACAGAACTTCCTTTCTTAGAGACTTAATAACATCAGTCAAACACAATGATTTATAGAGAAATTTCATAGAGAAATCACTCTACTGTATCAAAATTTTACTCCTTCACTTTCAGCCTTGAAGATGTCAGGAAATGAGCTGTGAGCATAAAGCCCCATATTATTTCAATCCATGAACAGGAAAAAAACCAAATGTCAAAGTTGTAATATATCACAGACACATGTCAGGAACTGAAACCAATGTTTCATAACCTCCAGGAAGAAGGCAGTTTGTATTTGTCCTCTATACTGTGTGTAAGAAGTAAGTTGGCATGTAACCTGAGGGCTTTCCCCACAGCATGACCCAGTCATTCCATCACTGTCATACAGTCTACTTCCTGGAGTTAGTCTAAGGGATCATTCCCAATGATACTTTCTATGTAGATCCATCCAACTCCTTGGGGACTTTTGCTGAATGCAATCACATTAACAGACTTCCTACATACCCAAGATAATAATCAGCTTTTCTGTAGTGCACTCAACCTCAGGAGAAGGTTTGTTAATCTGTTGATCAGACTGCATTCAGCAAGAGTCCATACACAGAACAATAGTTTTACTGGGAATGAACCCTAAGAAAAAGGGCCCTCACCTCCTGGCAGATCTTGGCTGTGAGCTGGAACCGGTGCTCATCACTCATGTGTTCCAGCATGAATCTGTACATGTACATACGCTTCCTACACAAAATGGAAACAATGACACCATTATGAAATATGCTCTTCATACCTTTAGTGATTGCTGAGTATGTGGCAGACCAGAAAATAAAGTCCACTGGTGAAAGGAAGCTACAAATATTTACACCAATACTCAGCAGAAAACAAATCAACATAAGATATCTAATTTCATGTTTTATCAGTTGAACTTACAATTATATCTCTATGCCAACATAAAGTCTTTGGTTACTTATTTCAAAACGTTCAACTTAAACATATTGTTATACCTGTATAACACAAAAATTATGACCATCTAACTGAAAAATAGATACATTTAGCTCTAACACTTACTCTGCATTGTCTTTCCCCTTCAAGGAAAACATTGTTCTTTCCCGTTCTGATTGCGAAAACTTGTTATAGACATTGTGACCCTCGTAAGCATTAAAGTGGAAGATGCACTCCACAAAGTGCTGGTTGAACATGCCAGGATTCCTCTGGAGCAGAAGATGGACCAAACAGAACTCCGCTGAAAAAAGATTCTTAAATAATCAAATGCAAATAAAACATGGCTGATCAAAATCTCTTAATTATGCTGAAGTATTACATAAATAATTTGCCAAGTTTGTCCTAGAATTACATTTTGCAGATAAACTGGGGTCCAATTTGAAATTTTTATACATCCTATGAGTTTAAAAACTTGTTGTAACTCGCTCAGTACACAAGGGTAAATAGTACCAGTATTACCAAAAGTTTTGATGTCAGGATCTTTGTCAACTACAGCTGTAATGAACCTGAAGAACAAACTTCCCTTCCATTTCAGGAAATCCTCCTAAAAATATAAGTCAAAATTTAAACAAATGGTTCTTGCAGTTGAGATGACAAACTGTATCCTGTGATTCAGAAAATTAAAAAGCCAAATCAATTAAATGAATACAAATTCTTTCCGACTTCTGACAACTATCCCAATTGAAAGTCTGACACTTAGAAAAATATCTCAATTATTTTGTTATCAGCTTATAATCTTTTGATAAAATTGAAACTTGAATTTTAAAAAAATCTGATGTCACCTGCAGCAGTCGTGTCAGCAAAGTTAATGTCTGCTTTCTGATCAAAGGGTTTTCATCCTTCAGGCAGGCGGCAATGTTCCCCACATACCTGTCCACTAGTGTGGTGTATCTGGAAATATACACAAATATCAGGCTTTATACAGAGACTATGTATTTAACAATTTTTAATAAAACCCCCTTTACACTGGACGGCGTCCTTTCTGCGTCCTTTGTGCGACCATGAAACTGGCCAGGACGCCGTCGGACGCTCAAAGAACGCACAGTAATCGCCAAGGTCGCACAAAGAACGTTCAAGCATCGCCGAGGATGCCATGGACGCCGCGAAGTTTTGAGCATGTTCAAAACAATCGCAGAGAGAACGCGATGGAGGATGGTCGTTCAATGGACGCAGAAAGGACGCACAAGCATCGCCGTGGTCGCAGAGAGGACGCACCAGCATCGCCGCGGTCGTAGAAAGGAGGCACAAGCATCGCTTTGGTTGCAGAATGAAAACTCAAAGATCGTCCAGTGTTCGGCACGTAGAACATTTTTTTTTTTAATGTCAAATGTGGCCGTGCTGAGGTATTTTTCACCAGACAGGAATTCTAAGGGCAACAGTGGTCTCATATCAGCCTCCGGTTGTTTTTTCCCCTAAAATTCATGAAACGATCCATTTTTTTTTTTTTTTTTTTGAGGTTATAATAAAACGAATATTTTGCCTTTTTTACAAGATGCATTAATTGTCAGAACTTTTTGCAGAATGCGTCATTTGAAAACGGATTCAAATATTCTATGTTGTGTCAGTCACAATTTCCCGTTTTCGGCGCCTGTCCATCCTTCTTATAAGGATAACAATGAGCATCTGGCCGATAATCAGTCCATACAGACCTTGCATCACTTTAGTTTAAAGCATTTATTGCCATTTATTTGTTTTGTGTGCTGGAAATGTTCTTTATTGGATGACCTGGTTAGAACCGATGAAAAATATGAGTTAGAATATAGAGAAGGACGCCCAAACAACGCTCATCGGTCAAGCAGGATGCAGAATGATTGTAGAATAGACGCCACTGATCGCCGATGAAGGTACAAGAATGCTCAATGGTCGCTCAAACATCGCAATGGACGCCTTGGTTTGCACAGAGGACATACAGTGGAGGCAGGCAGATTGCTCGCAGTTATTTGGTCATTCAAAGGACGCAAAAGGTACGCAGACGCCTTTACACTGAGACACGACTTAATTGCTTTGGCGACCGTTGAGCGTCCTGACCACATTTTTGAACGCAGAAGGGACGCAGAAAGGACGCCGTCCAGTGTAAAGGGGCCCTAATTAGAAGAATGCAGCACACAATTTTTAAAAATATATTTTCGAATGGACACACATTGAGATTCTTCCCTCAGTTGTTCAACAGTATGTAGTGAAATTGTTACTCAGTTGACCCCATGAAATGTATATAGGAGATTCAAGTGTAGGAGAAGTTTCAATATTAATAACTAATAATTTTCAATAACCAAAATATTTGCAAATGTGCAATAGAATGACATGTTTGCTTTTATTAAAGTCAGTTTTAATTGAGATAAATCATCAAATTAAATCAAATCTACCTAATACACAGGTCACACATTATGACCACCACATTGTTCCTGACGGCCGGGTCGTCACACGTCTCCAACTCGCGTGCCATGGCAGCAATACACTTCTTAGCAATGTCTTCATTCTGAAGACACAACTTGCCTGAAGACAGGAAGTAACATTAATGAAACCAATTATCATAATTTACGAGGGGGATGACGCACAAGATCATATTTTAAATCAGAAAGGTGGGTTTCAAATAAAGGAAATGACAAACATTGTGTAGGCAAAACACTCCCTAATTAAAATCAAAACTAAGCAAATTATATTCCTCACTTGATCTAAAGTTTTTTAATTAGTTTAGCATGGTTCAAATTCATGTTTCCAAGGAATTGTATATATACTGATGTTTTTATGTCAATGCACCTTACCCAGTGTCACAAAGGCATGTGCCCGTATGCTGCTGCTCATCTTAGAGCCCTGAAACTGCGACAACACCTGGGTCCCCTGGGTCAGCTGGCTTCCCTGGGGGAACTGAGCCTCCTCTGGGAGCTGTGTGTTCACATCTGAAACAAAATAGGAAATATGGACAGATTATTATTCCAGTGTCAAGAGATGATAACACTATCATAATAATAATTCTTTATTGGTTCGAGCACAGTATAAATACAGGCTATCACCTTACTAAAGTTCATGAATTACATTGAAGCCAGGGGCAGATTTATTCTGTCTTCTAGGTCTTCTGGAAGAGGGTCAAAATTTCAAGTTTACATTGATGGGTATCTAATTTTTTCTGTTTGATGACTGTCAAAAATGGGGGATGGATCAATAAAGATAATTTGGAAGCCTGTCAGAAAATATCTCTGGATCCACCCCTGGAAACAGTAATAATTCTAACACGTATGTCACTCCTAAATTATATCAATAAAAAATAAAGATAAAAGAATCTAGGCTCTTCTGTGTTCTACTTTATTTCTCTCCCCTCTAATTGTCTCTTCCTGAACTTTTGCTTAGCACTTCCCCTTAAAAACTTTACCCTTGAGCTTAATTCCATCACTAAACACTGCTTAAAACAGTTTCAAGACATCAGGTATGCTGATTAAACTGAGCTCTGGGACATAGTCAGGAATGAAGCCATTAAGTGACTAAGGATATAATCAGTGTGAGAAGTCATTAACTTCTGTTAATACACCTACACAACCAGATTTGTCAGGAAAAGATTTTACAAGAATTTTTTTCCCAGAGGAGGTAAAAATGCAGAAAACATCATATGGTCAGTAAACTCTCCATGGGTTATCTTAATAAAGAGCAGACCAGATGTGGGTATAGGTTCCCACCAGCAATAAGTAATATATCAAGCTTCTTTAAATAACCCATCAACATAATATACCCGATCTTCCTTTAACTGGGCAAAATCAGTCACATGACCAAAAGTTGACCTATTTTGCCCTTGACCCCTGGATGACCTCTGGTTGTGAGCCAATAAGATTTCAGATCTGTGCCAGTGTTTACTACGTTAAGTAGGAGCACATGGTATGAATATATGCATGTGTGTGTGCACGTAAATATCCTGACATTCCTACACATTTTCTCAGGTGATACCAGTCTGGCAGGTAGGTAATATTTTTCCTTACTTGCTAATATGCACTGCAGTAACAGTGTAACATGCCAAATAACTTATTCATATTTGGCTACCTGAAAACTTGTCATCTTTCAGTACTAACAGGCCTACCTTTTACAAATATAAGCCAAATTTCTGTTAAATTGGTACAATTTCAAAAATATCAAAATCTTAATAACAGGTAAAATTGATTAATTCTTAAGCTGCAGAAATCGTGGGCAAGAACATATATATTTTATAGTGTACAAATGACGTATACTGAAATAGTTTTCACTTCTGCATTTTTGAAAAAAATATTTTGAAAAATGAAAATGAGTATCTTCATAAATGGTAATATGTTGCTTAATTTTATCTCTCTATTTATTGATTATTGACAACAGCAATAAATAACATCAAAATAAATAAAATAAACTATCCTGATTATTGACAACAGCAAAAGAAAAAAAAAAGTATTGCACAATTCTTTAAACACCTAAACCTTTCATATTCAACTGAAAATATTCATTGAAGTAAATAGATTTTTAAAATTGATAATACACAGATGCACCGTGTAAGTCAATTCTTTACAATATTTAGGAGCATTTCTATAACCATGCAATATGTTTAAACCTCAGTGTATAGATAAGTATAAAATGTAAGTATTACAAGGGGCATATCATTGAATAATTATCAAAAAATCTTGTAAAATCCTTTTTTTTTTGGACAAGGCTGGTTGTAAAGGTGCACTAATAGAATTTAATGACTTCCCACACTATATATATCCTTAATCACTTAGAGAATTAGCTTAGTTTACCTCCGGAGGAAATGGTGGGGGCGGCAATCAGACTCTGCACCAACATGAAGACACGCCTGGGCGTCTTCCCAGGACACAACTGGGAGATCTCCCCTAGGGTGAACAGGTGGCGTACTATCAACACCTCATCAAGTTCTCCACCTGGTGAAATGGTAGTAGATTAGTTACTTAAGAGCTTGTCCACGAGAGGACCAGCCCAGGGTGGCAAGGGTGGGGGTCAGCGGATTTCAACCAAATTTGTTGTATGGAGGCATATTAGGAAGTTATTCATGAGTTAGGAAGGAATCCCAAAAATATCCTTTCTTCAGAGAATTATAGCCTATTATAAGTCATGGCTTATGTAGCCTCTTTGAGACTCCATTTTTACCTTGGAAAAATAATGATATATTTTGTGTAAATTAAACAAAAATGGAGAAAACTAAAAAATATTAGACCTTACAAACATTGAAAACAATCATTTGGCTTGCCACAGATATATGTAGAATTCAGATAAGACCCTGCTTGGGCGAGCCACACCCATTTATAACACCCCTCCCCCCAAAGTCCAATTTTGATACTACCACCTTTAATTGCATATATCTCCATCTTCACAGGGTTTACAGCTATAAAACTGCATGAATATTTTAGGCAGATATGGATCACTCCAAATCAAGTTTCAAAAGTTACTGCTGTATTAAAACAGGTACTGAAAAATACCCCCAAAGTTGGCCATTTTTAAGGCAAAAAATTGTGGTGGATTCATTCAAGTCTATGTAGACAATGGGTTTGATTAATTTATTAAACCATTTTGCTCTACAATGATGTTACTAAATTAATAGGGCTGGTGTAGGAAAGTGGATGTGTACTAATGAATATCAGGTCAGTGGGTCGTAGGTTAAGGTCACTGGGCTTCATATTTGTAAATTGCCATACATGGACTTTTTAATTTGTATGGACAAAAAGTTTAGAGGAAATAAATCTTAGATTCTGTTAATTTGGATAGGCACTGGCAATTAACTTGAGAGTTTACATGATAATTTTAATATATATATATCTTTAATATCATCAATTTGGTGAATACAAATTAAAATCTTAGTTTAGTAGCGATTTCTTTTTGGTGCAATATTTATCATATAGAGATCAGGATATGCCATAGTATTTATGAGAGCAAAGCCAGAACAAATCTTTTTTAATTATCAAGAGTTTTTTTTTATCATCCACACCACTTTTTGGTGACTATTTATGAGCATACAGTAACTAAAAAGTTATTCAATTTAGTTTATTTTTGTCTCAGATGAATAATTACAAATAATAAAAAAAATCACAAAATTATAATACAGCAATACATGCAAAGCAGTGCAACATTAGTTGTGATCATTACAAACTATATCATAATGTAGCAAAACAAGATAATTTTCTATTCAAAGAGCAAAACTAACACAACCGCAAAATATATCCTGGTGTTATGAAACATCTTTGCAGTTTTATATCAAACATTACAGCTCATAACATCAAAGTTTTTAATACATTCAAAAATAACTGCCGATTTTTTCTTCCTGAATAGTCTGTAACCCTCCTTACTGACATTTCAATCTCATCTTCATGCTCACAAATGCTAGGTTGTAGCTGCTGGCCTGTTTCTTGTGCCCTTCTAAACTCCTTCAGTAAAAACTCCTTTACTTTATTTGAATATAGTTTCAAAGGTTTAGATGACTTTAAAGCTCATCCATTGTGTAACTCAGTGAGATATTCAAGAGGGTGGAGTTCTCTCACAGAACAAGACAAGAAAAAATTTCCTTGTTTGTGATCTTGCTTGGTATAGTCCCAGTTGGCACATTTGCCTCAGAAAAACCCAAATTAACTTTAACATCAGTATAATCACTCATGTTAAAACTGCTCAAGGAAGGGAGACACCTTTTCTCATGTTGTAGGAATCAAAAAGCTAAATTGTTGTAATTGGACACTCCAGTCCACGCAGGTTTGGAAGATGTCTGTCTAGCTGGATGTAGAAAATTGCTCCAACTGCAGAAACTAGGGCCTCATGCATCTCCTCAGCATTTGCTATGTTGTGGCTTTCATTTACATACATGCCTTTCTATATAGCCGTCATTTCCACACTAGTTTCAGTTTCTGCAAAGCTTTGGACTCTTTTGCTGACCATAAGATCACTGTGTGTCAAATAACACTTCTCAAATGTGCCTGAAATATAAATATAGCTTACTATAGACACATGAAAACACTTATCTGAAAGTTAATTGATACATTGATGAAAAAAAAATATTATCCCATTTGTCAATGTTTTATAAGTAAGGCATGGTTTCGAATATTAATTATGATGAGCCTAGCAATTTTGCCAAGACCAGCCCTAGCTTCAATCTAATTCCAATTGTTACCCTTAAATTTATTTTACCCAAGTACCATTAAACCTACATAAATACCCAGACAAATATAGCTTAAAAGATAAAATTATCATAGGTCCTTAGACTGCAATTTCATTATTTGAAAGGGGGCATTTTTTTTTATAAAAAATTTTTATTAAAAAAATTACACCTAGATCATTTTTCTGAGTGAACTTTTTTTTCTGGCTTTTAGCCTGTATTAAAATACAAACAAACCCGTTTCTTACCTGAACCAAGTGGTACCAGTACATTCAAATTGCTTTTTGTCTACACTGACATCTGCAAGTTAATCCCATGACATATTTCGTTATAGGCTCGTTTTTTCCCTGTGTGGATGGTTTCCAGCACAAACCAAGCCCATATCCCAGTGCTGGTCACATGGTGTAACCGTGTAACCCATTCATTCTCCCAAAGATACTTGGAAATGTCCAATTGCGGTCAAAAGAATCCACACCTGACAAGAATCAGTTTGCTTTCGTAACTCACGCTGTTTTGCTTCACGTAAACGCGACGAAGATGACTGTTAATATCTCTGTTGCAATTTTTCAATACACTACATGTTTTTTTTATATCTGTAGACAGAGTATAAACCACATGATATACGACTTCGTTGAGGAAGATTTGCAAACAAACAGTCTGCAATTTCCGCCATGTTGGATAATGACGTTGTGTTGTTCTGACGTTAGTACATTAGTTTCACATGATTTTAAAATGTGTTAGATGCTTGTTTTAACCAGAAAAAAATTAAAATAAGTAAAATGAAAATAAAAAGTTCAACTAACAGTGTTTTAAACCATTTGTTGACTTGAAAGAGATAGCTGAAGTTGAGTGCACCGATATATGTGTCCGGATATATTTACGAAAAATGAAGAAATTAGGTCATGTTCTATCTGTTACAACGGACAAGTTGTAGAACAGCAGTAAGTTTTGATTTCATGTATAAATAGATTAATGAGTTATCTGTTAGTCCTGAACACGCTTTACCCCAAAGACCTGTGAAGATGAAGATATTGTCAAAAATAGAAGGGGGGTGTTAAAAGCATGTGGTTTGTAGGCCTGAAAAAAACGCTTGGTTTGTTACCATGGAAACAAAGAGAGTGAAAAAAGTGTATATCATTTTAATCCCCTATCTTTAGGTTATAATATATCACCAAACTAAATCATTTAGTGACACCTGTATAAACTTTAAGGCCAATCAATATAACCCTGTTTTTCAGAAGAATTTTTGGTTGATAATACCCCCAAATTGTCACTGGCCATATCTCTGTAAGTAGGGATTTTTTTCAGGAAATATTGCAGCCTCAGATATTGTTCATATAAAGGTTCAAACACACCAAATATGATGTAAATCCGTTCACCCCCACCTTGCCGCATTTTCTACATTTGGTCTGGTTTTCTCGTGGACACACACTTAACACACTATAAAATGCTTTAACATAATGCTGACAGAGCAAAAAATCAGGGAGAAGTTGAAAATAATTTGTACAACACTCCTGGATTGAGGGCAATATTAATGCTATATTTTAAAATAATTTAACTATAACACATAGTCTAAAAAGATCATCTGATCCACGTCTCCTTCCAAAAGAGCCACCATTAAGATTGTTGATACTTTTAATAAATCTGGGAAAATATCAAAAGCCTAAGACTAAGTAAATCAAACAACACATTCACACTGTAGAATTTAATTCCAAGCAATATTGATGACAGAGCTATTAATTGATCACCTTGGTTTTCCCCCAGTATAACGCTGGACAGATACTCATCACATGCTTTAAGAAGCTCCTCGCACCACTCATCTGCTGCTGAACTGGCTCGGGTGACGTCTGCTGATTGTTGCCCTAGCAACTGGAAAGAAAACAATCATTAGAGAGATTGTTATAGCAGGGATGCTGTAAAAAGGCTGAACTTGTTAGTTTAAATAATGAGTTTATTCATGAAAAACCAAAAAGCTTTTAACAAGCTTTCTAACAGATCCCTAAAGCTAACTGTACTAGTACTGACATGACAAAGAATTATTACGTAGAGAAATTTTCTAGAAAACTTAAATCTTAAAATTGATTAAATGACAAAGATAACATTGTTTCAAACCAAACGTCTATCTAAAACATATCACAAATTTCACACTTGATTTTTTAGAATTTAAAAGACTAATTTGAAATTCAGGATAAACTTAAATGTCAAATTTCTCAAAGTATCTTAAAACCATAAATCATTTTAAAATGCAGAAAGAACCAGATTACGTCACAAAAAAAAAAAAAAAAAAGACAGAGAGAGAATACACTGAATCATCAGAAAAATCAATACCTTATTACAGTTACCAGAGATTCAAAGCTTGTAAAGGGTTCAATTAACTAGATTTCATACACTTCAGACAAAAATCAAAGAATTCTGCCCACAGGATGAGAACTTCACACATTTTTGTCTGGATTAAAGTAGAGTCAGAGAAATAATAGTTGTTCAGCACAGTGACGGAACTGGAGAAACAGGAGGTCTACCAACATGCAATGTTTGGATTGGATCAATGCTCTAAAACAAGCCAGAACGAGCCTGCAGTTTAGCTGATTTTTCTTGGCAAGTTGTGAGACCTGATTTTTTTTTTTTTTTGTCAAACCACTGCTTTATATAAGCTAATTGCCTCATATATCAGCTACATTGAATAAAATGTTCATTTTTTTCCCTGTAGCATATTTATCATAGATTATGTATCTAATTCATCAAAATAAATCTTAAAATTACAAGATGTTTTAAAGTGACCTGGTCATTCTGTCAAAGTTAGTATTAGGGGCTTCGACTGTTGACTCCATATGCAAAACTTAAGTCCATTTAACTTTTAAGCTATCAAAATTTGACTTGCATGAGCAGCAGTTAATTCAGGTAGTCATCCAGCTCAGTACCCAAATGATCTTTTAATAACTCCCTTCACCAGGTAACCTGGTCATTAGAGACGCAATTCAGCATTGTTCTCATTGCCGAGTAGAAATAGACGTAAGAAATATCTGTATTACACAGCAAGTATTGCAGCGAAGGTTGGTAACAGGTAAGAAATAATGGTTTTGTCTCCCCTTGTACCTGTATGTGTGCACCCATGTGTATACCTATGTAAAATATTTAGAGAAAGTCAGCTGCCAACATATATATTACAGGTAATTGTTGTTAATTAGGTGCATGATAGATATTGTACTGCCATAAATGCAGAACAACATTGTGTGAAGTAAGGCAGGAATGGCAGAGAGTTTCTCTACAAGTTTGTCTGTGTAGACCCAGTAAGAAGAAGCTCCCATTTGAGCAGCATAGTCAAGGTCAGATTGAGACCGTCTTCTGGAAGACAGTAAGATTTTAAAGTTTACATAAACAAGTATTTATTTATTTTTTGTTTGAAGATGGATTGACAAAGATAATTAGGAAGACTGTCAAAAAATATCTCTGGACCTGCCCCTGATAGTATTACCTTAGAGAGAGTGCTCACTGTGACAGCGATCAGTTCCGGGGACAGATCAAAACACTTCAGTCTCTGCTTCAGGTCAGCTGAAATATACAAAATAAGTGATTACGCTAAATAAGGATTGTACAGGATAGAAAATTTTATTCACCATTTTTCAAAATATCATTCACCTAGGTTATAGGAAACAGAAGACATCTTTTTACTGAAAGTTGGAAATATTTATTTTCTTTTTATACAATCTTTTTCCAATCACCTAGATGGCAATTGACACAAATGATGCTATGTATTGGAGATTAAAAACAATAAATAAATATATAAATAATTAAGTACATAAATAAATTTGATATCCAACAGAGACTAATTTTGGCGATGTCACAAGCTAAAATATGCCTAGACAGAAGAAAAATAAGGAGCAAAATACCAAAAACACTCTACATTTGCTAAATTAACTTCCAATGAGAACATGTAAAAACCTGAGTAAGATTATTCAACCAAAACTGATGGACCAATTCTGTCTGTCGTTATAGGAAGCAATCTGATCCAAGTCATTGGCCTGGGAAGTGTATATTTACGGCAGTAGCTAACCAATTCCATAATCTTCTAGTTGGTACATTTGATCAATAAACAGCCTTCTTTTATTTAAGCAAACAAGTTGTGGCTATTTATAAAATGCTGTCTAGTCTGTTGTCCTATTACTTGCTAAACTCTAAAATTAGTGGCTTAATATAATAACATTCACTTTCCTCCAATATCTTATTTTCCTTTGCCATCTTCCACATAAGAAGAGTAGATCAAATAACAAAAAGGTCAAACAAACAGCACGGTGAACAGGGAATAGAAACAGAAGTTAAAGGGGAGCTCAGGTTATGTAAGCCACAGATATACAGGTGATAAGGCACACTCCAATGAATTTTTCCCTGGAGCTCCTTACATTTTAATTCACGGTCTGTGACCTAATTATTTCTACAAATACTCAAACAGTGAAAGGGGTGCATGAGGTGTCCAAACTTATTGTACCTTTGCTTGTTTGATTTGTACTTTGTTTTAGTGAAACTTTTAAGTCTACTTTTTCGTGGTTGACACAATTTTACATAAAAGTATGAGTTATCAGTACAAAAAAGAACTGCTGCAATTTGCATCATAGTCTTTGTTGATAGGAGCAGTCAGCTATACAACTTTATAAATGAACAAGATGTCACTCAGTTAAATGGTTGAACAGTGGTATGCTTGACCACCCCCAAGCAATAGAGTGTCATGGAGTCAAGTTATTTCAATCGTAACTGGGGTGTGACATTTGATACCTGGCAAAGTTGGGTCAAGGACAATAATAATATTATATCCTTCAATTTATCCCAATGTAGAGGACCAAAAATTCATTTTAAAAAATCAAATCAATACCACTTACAAAAACTATTTATCTTCAGGCTTTGAAATAGTCTTTTTTTTTTCATTTTCTCTTTTTGATATTTTTTATCATTAGCACCTATTTCATGTATTTCATGCCATTTTGAAAATAAAATAAAGTGTAACAGACACAATCACAACAGTCTATAACAAAAATGAAAAAGAGAAGAGATAAGAATGCTAACTTTTCAAAAACCTGTGTAAAATTTTGAAAATAGTTCATGAGTAAGATTATGCAATCTTAAACAAGCACAGTTTCTATAGATTGTATCAATTTCAAATGCCAGAGGGTCACTCCTATGAAATGTGCAACGGACCAAATATTAGAGTACAACTTCCTCAGCAAATAAACACTATACACTTTGATCAAATTACACAACTGGTAATGTAATGCTGCAGATTTTCTATTAATGAAAAGATTTTGCTTTGCAGCACAGCTAAAACCTTCCTGGTATATTGGGAGGAGATTTACCCTTACTGTTATTTGGGAACTGGTCAAGTGGAATTGTTACACCAATCCTTAACAAGTCAATGCCAGAGACAGAAAACAGCAGACTACAGCAGAGATTTCAAATAAAACGGTTAACAACCTGGTGGGAAACAAGCTACTGCATCCAAGAACGGTAAGTATACCTGTAATGTTATTTATAATAACAAAAATATTATAGATACCTCCTGTACTTACTCTTACTTCCAAGATATAATGAGGTGGCATTAGCAAATGGAAGTAACTTTATCATGTACAGTATCAAAAGTAACAAATGGAACAATATTGTTTGCTTTAATCACATTATTCAATGCCTTCAAGATGGTGAAAAGTTACCCAAAAACAATTTTATCATATATATATATATATATCTTTTATTCATAATAAATCTAAAGCATTACAGGAATAGCTTTGATATTGAAATATTCACATCACACATGGGGGAGGGGTCTGCTTAAGGCAGGAAACTGTCAAGTTAAAATTGGATTTTTGATTTAAATAAATGAAAAAAAAAATCATGACTGTAATGTGAGAAAACCAAAATGTCTGTACTGTAACGTGATATGATTTATAAACATTCTTAAATTCAACTTCTAATGCACCTTAAACAGCACAGCCAACAGTGCCATAAAAGCATATGAAGTTTTTGTTATTACTACCCTTTGTTCTTTAGAGTCCATTTGGCCCATAGTGGCCCAAACAAACTTGTTTCCCTCTGAACAAAAAGGAGCCATAATCACTGAGTCACAGTGCAGCGGAGCAATTATAACTAACATTCCTTTTTACCCTTTTTTGAATAGCCACACCTGAACCCAGCTGACATTTCCAAGGAGCACCACTGGGGGGCACCTTGACTTTCTACCAGCATATCATCTTATGTACCTTCAGCCTTAACATACCGAAGACTTCAACATCTAAGACAAAACTCATGAGTACAGTAAGGACACATTTTCTAGATAATGTCACTAACTTTACCTTGCCACCGAATCCTGATGTTCTGAACATAACACAGGAACTTAATAGGACAGGGACGACAGAAACGGTATCTTTGACCACAGCAGAGATTTCTCTGCCACAAGAACAAACGGAGACGTGGGAAATCATTGCCCTACGTTCTGTTATCACCATTGTCATCATAGCAGCAGTGATTGGAATACTGGCACTGATTTACAAACTCTGCGCCAGATCTATGAAAAGTCCGACAGAACACGCAATTAGCGACGGACACGGTCCCTTCCAGGAAGTCCATATCGGGGACCGCTGCTCTTGTGGTACAACCAAAAATTATAGAAAAGACCAAGAGATTTTTGCCACAAACCAATCAGGGGTGTGCATATGTGAAACTTCATTTTTAGAGGGCGGAGTACTTAAAAATGTAGCAAAGAAGAGATCTCCACGCGATCACATTCTCCATTTGACGAAAGAACAGGCAAAATATCTTTTCACTGATAAGAAGTTAAAATGTTGTAAAAATGAGTGCCTGTCTATGGAATATGTACCTTCTATTGATTGTGATGATGAATCTGGGGATACAGAGACAGCTTCATATGGAGCAGGAGAAACAGACTATGTATTTGTGACTTATGAAAAAGGCAGGGATGTGCCAAATTACTGACATCTAAACAACTATTTTGCATCCTCCACTCAAATATGGAGAACCATCAAAAGTAAAATTTATGTCAACTGATAACTGACGGTTTTGCTTCTGGATAAAAATGATAACTCTTTGATAATAAATATATTATTGAGCTCCTTTATTAACAGTTTTATTGTTATTCCTCAAGTCTGTTTTTTTTTTTTTTTTTGTATAAAATGTTGTAAACTGTTTCACAGCTTTATAAAAACTTTATAAAAAAATTTCAAATTTAAAGGACTGAAAAGAACATCAGTTTATAAGTATTAATAGAAAATGGAGGAAACCAGCTGTTTCTCCTGCACAGATTATGAGATTTACATTTGAAGAATATCAGTGCACAGAATGTGATGAGAATTTCAATTAAAGGCCAAACCATACTATTATATAGGAAAACCTTCAGTGATCAATACACAAATTAGACAAATATCTTTATTATTTGCTTAATTGGGACCATTTTTATAATGAATGTACATCTATCAGAGATTTAATTGGAATCATTTTTATAATGAATGTACATCTATCAGAGATTTAATTGGGATCATTTTTATAATGAATGTACATCTATCAGAGATTTAATTGGGATCATTTTTATAATGAATGTACGTCTATCAGAGATTAACTTCATCAATGCAAAGACAGACTGACCAAACTAATTACTGATTCAAATAAAAGCTCTTTGGTCAAAAAGAGGCAAAAATGTAATTAAAAAGCGCAATAATAAAATGCCTAAAAATGCTAATACCATAATAATATCAATTTGAGTTGACTATTTGTCGAAATATATTATCAATAATTAATGTTTTGTTATATTTGAAAATCAGCATTACTGTAGTATATGAAGGGACCACAATATTAAAAATATATTAATTACAATTTTTTCAATACTTTGGTCCCTCAGACACTGATATTTTTTTTTATCTAGATGTCATCTTGATATTACTAAAGTTTGTGAGAGGAGTGCTATTGGTGAACTGTTTCTACATAAGAACAGGAATGTGTTAGGTGAGCCACTCAGTACAACTGTAGCAATGTGATCTGAGCACATCCCTGTATCACATCTACCACACAAAATTACATACAGGGCATGCTATGAATGAAATTATTATCACTTTGTTGATACAAAATGTGGGAATCTAATATTAGATATTTCACTGGAAAGCTTACATCTAAACAAAAAATGTGTAAATATTTCCTGGTCATTTAATGGTTATATAAATTGCAGGAGGTATCATTTGCGAGTACTAGGATTGGCCAATACTGCATTTGAAGTACTTTTCCACATGTTATATAACACCATAAATAATTCCTCAACATTCTTATCAGTCTCCAGCAGTTGTTGGATAGTGGAATACCTATTAAGTATTGTACTGCTTCTAACTGGTAAATATATCATATAAATTTTGTATGCCATGAATTGAATGCCATTCCTCTGAATAAAATACTGTAGTATAAAAACGTGTTGAGAAACCTGCAGTAATTTTGTAACGTGACCTACTTCATTGAATTAGAGCAAATTAAGTTATCAAAAGCTTAGTGACAAACAAAACAATCTTATCACATTGACCGAGAGAACCAAATTGTTTTTGTCCCTCTTATCATGTTTACTTGTCTCATAAGCACCGGCAAAAGAAGTGTTTGATTACTAAAAAGAAGCTTGTAGTCTAGAGAAATGCTTACCAGCCACAAAACAGAAGATATGACACGTTACTATATATAAAATCAAAAATAAAAGTTTACAGAGGTGATTGAATCAATTAACTATTCCATGTTTCTTTCCCACAATCTGTTGTCAAATAAATCCTAGTTTGTCCGCACAGTGATGTATAGCATGGTTAACGGTGTGTGTGTCCTAATAGTTAAGGTCAGACGGGAGAGATGAACACAATAGATGTTATGAGTACCTGATGCATGGGGGGTCTCAGAATACAGCTCAGGTACAGGTAGGTAACGCAGGTGTTTTGATGGCCAAAAATAGCACCTCTGTGTATAATTTACAACCTTAGTGGTCTATCGTGTTGTGACTAGTAAGCTATGCCATAGGCAGCCTTCTACATCAGTTCTGATTAGCTAGGATATTAGCTAATAGTTAATATACTGTAATAGTGTTTAGCTTCCTGCGGTAGGTACCAAGCACCACTGATCACTATGGATTTAGGGCATTAAAAACAGCAAGACTAGCTGAAGAAGCCAGAGGTTATTTATTCTAAAAGTATGGAATGTGTCGCACATTTTCACTACAAATCATAGTTCAAACTTGGATAATATCAAGAAATTCTAAGTATTTCACTCAGCCAGTTTTTTGAGGTGTTAAAGGCAATTCTACCCTAACCAGCATGGTATCGCGCTTTTCATTAACTGACTCCCTCAGTTTTACTGACTGCTGGAAACCTGTCGTTTTTCAGAGGCGGAGTCAGTCGTTGACAATACAGGTGAGTTTTCCAGTAATCTTTGACACCGAAGGTGGTAATTGAATCTTCCCCAGTTTTCATCTAATCACTTCAATTACACAAACCCTCAGTGTAGCAATTTTCTTATCATGCTCAGTCTGGGATCACTAACCATTTCTGATTAGCTGACACCTCTAATAATGACCCTGGTATCAGCCATTACTGCTGAATGTAGTTTATTTTATATTTCTTTTATATAGAGGAAGTTTGATCTTAACCATTCTGGAGTATAAACTGAAATAAATATGATAACAGTACCAGAGGGCAAAACTGCTATTTTCTATCAAAGTCTAAATGTTTGATCAATCTGGAGCTTGGGTTATCTAAAGAGTCAGTATGCTAAAGTAATTTTGCTCATCGTTGCCTTTACTGAAGTTTTGAAGTCTCACAAACATACATGCCTCTGAAAGATAGACAGTTGTTTTTATCAAGCAAAATAACAAACTTAACATTTATATTTCAGCACACTTACTGAGGCAATGAATCTGACCTGGAGGACAAAATACAAGGTACTGCACAAGACTTAATGCCAACAATTTGGAATGAAAAGGATCAACTGTTTGTCTTCAGGTTGAATGACCCTCTAGTTTTTTAATCTGCTTTTCACATTAACAAAAAAGTGATTTAAGCAAGGTCACATTAAATATAGACTGCTATATCTAATAGTGTACCACATGTCAGTTCTTACAGCAATTAGATACTGCAGAAATGGAAAACTTATATAACTTATCACTGTAGACTGAATCCCTTATATTGAAGACTCTGAATCAGCATATAGTAATATCAAAACTCACTTTTCCCTTGATTTCTCGCTATCAAATTCCCCACCTTAGACCCCAATTTGCTGCAAGGAAAACACTCGAGAATTAACAAGGAGGATAAACAGACATCACCGGAGAAGAACATAAAATATTTCCTTTCTACGGAGCAGCCCCTTAATCTTTGTATGTTCACTGACCTTACAAGTTTATGGCATATTTATGCTCTGGTTTGATGACTGCAGACAAGATTTACCTACAAGCTGCCTAATTCTGCCATGTAAGTTTCTTTCTGTTTACTTGCTTTTGTATAAGACACAACATAGTTATACAACATCATAAATGTAACGTAGGCAGAAGACTCAATTGATTTTTCATGCTTTGTTTGTAAGGGGGCTTGTAGTGATTTTTTTCTTTTCCGTCCTTTTTTTTTTTTTGTGCAGAGCTTTATAGCAGTACTTCATAAAAAAGTTGTTTTTTCGTCTCATTTTTCATTTCATCAATCCAGTACCATGAAATGGTCCAATCAGCCTTATCTATTTGATTAAATAGAATTTTCTGTTTGATGCCTCATTCATACTTCATTGCAGGTATTAATTTACTATACTAGGACACAATCAAATGAATGGTCATAAAGAGTGCTTTTAAAAACTATGGTTGCACATGGACTTTTCCAGCGTAGGACTCTGTTATCAGCACAGAAATGGCAGCTGTTAGTTTTTTATTCTCCCGTTGACCTATCATACGGTCATTTAAGATGTATTATGATCCCACCTAGAGTGCAATTATCAGTTTTTGGTTCCCTGAGCACAATTTATCGCCTTGAAAATGGCATCATTTATTACAAATATGACGGTTACTCAATACCTAAAACAACGCTTAATAAGCATATAAGAAAGAAAAGATGGAATGAATAAGTTACTAATAATGAATGAATGGTTCAATAAATGAGTGCATAAATAAATGAAAAAAGAAAGGAAGGAGAGAAAAAGAAACGAAAAAATAAAAAGAGTAGGCGGGAGAATGATGTAAGATGAAAAGCATGTTTTTCACCAGATTGAGAGCTTGCTTATGCTTATCTCTCTACAAGGACACACAAGTATCAATTATATCAGCAAGATGCTGGCTGCAATTTATGCTACAGACATTGGATTTCCAATCTCCTGCGTCATTTGTTCCATGTACCTGGTAATTCCCTCCTATCAACAGCGGATAAGCCTCGACTGCTAACATTTCCTAGTTTGCAAGCTTCATATACAAAGATTTCAACATGAGTTTTACAGATAATTTCTGTACAGAAAAAAATGCCTGGTTTAAATAAGTCCCATTTAGAAATACTTTGCACAGCAAAATACAACTAGTCACAAAATATCATGCATCTGCGCAATTTTTCATGTGAATGTGTATTAAGCTGCCATTCTCAGTTCAACAAATATTTCACAAATACCCAAAACATTAAGCAGTAAATTATCATGTACTCTTCTTTACTCCTCTCTCTCTCTCTCTCTCTCACCAATCTTTACTCCCTATCTCCATCTCTCCTCAGACATGTTTTTGAAAATCTAAAAATGAGAACACATGCTCGTTTTCATCCCCTAACATGGGCATTCAACAACAAAAAAATTACTCCTCTTGTAGCTAAACTCCACTAACACGTTATATTTCCAAGCTATGTAATCAAGCAGAGAATAATGCACCCACACACGTATGTAATCTTGTACCAGAGACCAAACAAAACACAATCTACATAAAAGCAGAAACTGCGTGGTTTGATGGAGTATTTCATGATTAAGGCTTATGTTTAAGAGGAAGGAGAATCAAAATGACATAAAAGCTGTCAGGTTTCACATCGTAAAAAGGCTATTTAGTCCAGGAAGAGTTTCAAGGTAAGCCGAGGTGATTGTCACCCCTTAGGTCACTTCTATCTACATCAGGCTAGTTAGTAGAGGGTTAGATAAAACAGGGGCGGATTAAGGCCATCCTCTGGAAGACAGTCAGACATTCAAGTTTACCCCCCCCCCTCCCCATTCTTAAATTGTTGGCTTCAGGCCTGCTATGGATATTGTGAAGTCAGTAGTTCAGAAGTTCAGGAGAATGATTCATCACAATTTTGACCCAAGGAAATGTATCACAGTCAGGGGCGAATTAGGTTCTTTATTGAAAATGATGAAAAGGGATACTTTACAGGTGATTTTCAGTTAGAACATATTCTGGCTTGACACTTCATGATACATTATCATTAACCTAAGCAATTTGTTTATTGTAATTTTGCATTTGTTAAACTTAAAATTAAAAGTAAGAATAAAATGATATTATATTCTGTTTAATATCTTCTTTGTAAAAAGGCTTTGGACATTTCGGGTTCCTGCTCTAATTTTTTTATTTTTACTTCAGTAATGATAAACTTATGGAGCAGAACTTTCAGCTATAATCAACATTCATGCACCAAGGCACATTGCACAGTGATCTGTAGGCAGAATGATTCCCTTACACAGAGAGAGTTTCAGTCCTGTTCAGGAAACCTGCAGGGTTTCTGCACTACAGCATTGAAGACTGTTCGCCATTTCTATTTTCAACTGTGAACAGATAAAATAAATACAAATTTTCTGTTTTATTTTTTAATTTACGAAAGAAAGAAAAGAAAGAAAAAAAAACTCAGTCTCCTCATTTAGGCACCATTAAACAGTTTGCTATTTCTACAGTTTTTTTTTTTCAAGATAGAAATTATCATTTCATTTTGTATATAGTTTCTTTCATGTTTCCTATTTATCCCAAAAGAGCCCTCTCAAAGACATGGTGTTGCATTTCATACAACAAAACATAATAATGGATAATAAATTGTTTTTCTTCATCAGTGCTAGCAAAGGATATCATCTGTCACCAATAAATCATAGATGACAAGCTATTATGTATTCTATTGGCAGGTGCTTTTATTGCTTTTATCCCATCTTTGTAAAAAAAAAACTCGTTCATGCCTGGTCTGGTCTCTATGGCAACAAGCCATAGTACGGATCAATGACCACTTCTCCTGCCATATCTGGAGGGTCCAGCCAGCAGAGGTCAAAGTTGAGTTATTAAGACTGAGATTGTCCAGTTCAGGGTGACTTCTGACCAGTTCACTGGGAATATCTGGACTGTGCAGACATCACAGGGTCTAGCTGAGGTCTCAGAATAATTTGATTCAGATAAATCACTTCACTGTCACGTGAACTGGACGAGTGGTACAAGGTAGAGCTGCCTGAGATGAGGTGTGAAGTACTGCACATTGTTAATAGAAAGCAGTGAGGTCTTTGTAAACTTCACATTGGCAGAAAAATGAACTATTGAGTTTATTATTATTATGGTTTAATTATTCTTTGGCATTTTTACTAAGTTGGAGAATTGTGTAGATTTTGAAGTTTTTATTGGGGTTTTTATTGCGGTTTTTATTGAAGATGGGGCTAGCTTTCTCAGAAAGCTGACTTAGTCTGCTAAATAAGACAAGCCATAGGAAAAGGTTATACCACAAAGGATCAATTTATCTTTAACAAAAAATGTGACATCTGACTAGACAATGTATGCCTGCTAAAGTCCTCTGACGTGGAGGGGTTAACATGTTTTTTATCATTCAAGCTCATCTTCAACATCTGGCAGAAACATTAAGTCATTATTTCTATTATTACTCTTCCATTCTTTCCAGCGCTTCACTTGACGCAGGATACAAAATTGTAAACACAAAGGACAGAAAAAAACTTGTATATATTTTTCATTATCAAACTGAAAATAACATTAATATTTTCAGACACCAGCTGAGGGGAAATTGTCACAAAAACAAGCCAACTCAATCAGAAGATAAGAAAAGACCAATAAAAAACAAAGAGAAGAGCCAATTGCTGAGATACTGAGGACAATTCATCATACAATGATACAAAGAACTTCAAGCTACAAACCAGTGATACTTAATAACACCTTGGAGGAGAGGAAAGGTTGCCACCTTAGAAACTAATGGACACACTATGTCCATGAGTACACAGCCAACACCAGTGAATGATGGTACCCCCCTGAACGCCACTGTGTCGGACCCGCACTCACAGCAGCACATATGGCACACTGTGGTCACACTCTCCGTGGTGGCAGCAATCGTCATCGTCGTGATTCTAGCATACAAAGTATTTCGTAGGACAGTAAGGAATACACTTTGATGAATGGTTATGCAGACATAACAGCCTAAAGTTTTGTCTGTGAACAACAGGGGCGGATATAGGCCGTCTTCTGGGTCTTCCGGAAGACAGTCAGATTTTCAAGTTTACACTGACAGGTATCTAATTTTTTCTGTCAGAAGACGGTCAAAAACTGGAGGATGGATCAACAAATAGAATATGGAAGACTGTAAGAAAATATCTTTGGATCCGCCCCTGAACAACATCATAAACACAGATTTTTTATAATTCTTGGCGCAGGTGATATTTTGAGGACAGTCAGGGTTCCACTGTGACAAATGCAATAGCATGGAAGAACGCCTGTTCATTATGTATCTAAGCAAAGGAAAGAATTCTATGGGAAAATGACAAATACAATATGACCATTTGCTGACATAGCAGTATTAAATAATTTCCGTTAATTACTTTTGGAACTTAGATCAAACAAACAGGGTTACAACATGACAAGTAATTTTGCTGATATTTCATAAATTAGGGAATCTCTGACAAGGATATCAGGACGGATTCAGATGTTTGTGTAAGCACCACAGCAAACAAGATATATCTCATAACACAGATAGACACTGTCTGACAGTTATCATTATACAAGACTGCGAACATCTTAGTGTGTAATACTCATGATAAATGACCTCTCCTAGCTATAGACTCCAAAAATACAACCGAGAACATGCTAAAAACTGAATGTTAGTCAGAGAGAACTTACATCAAGACTAAGGTGGTACAAATTGGATAAAGTTCACAGAGATTTCATCCTAATAATGGATTTTCTAAATGACATTTTATGGTCTGAGATAAAGACATCAATGTCACTCGGCACCATTATCTTCTTCAAGCGCCAGGGATATATTCCAGTGTTTATCTGATGTTACGATCTAAACAGAATGAAAGGTTTCATTCAGAGAAAGACATTTTTTANCCCCATTCTTAAATTGTTGGCTTCAGGCCTGCTATGGATATTGTGAAGTCAGTAGTTCAGAAGTTCAGGAGAATGATTCATCACAATTTTGACCTAAGGAAATGTATCACAGTCAGGGGCGAATTAGGTTCTTTATTGAAAATGATGAAAAGGGATACTTTACAGGTGATTTTCAGTTAGAACATATTCTGGCTTGACACTTGATGATACATTATCATTAACCTTAGCAATTTGTTTATTGTAATTTTGCATTTGTTAAACTTAAAATTAAAAGTAAGAATAAAATGATATTATATTCTGTTTAATATCTTCTTTGTAAAAAGGCTTTGGACATTTCGAGTTTCTGGTCTTATTTTTTACTTCAGTAATGATAAACTTATGAAGCAGAACTTTCAGCTATAATCATCATTCATGCACCAAGGCACATTGCACAGTGATCTGTAGGCAGAATGATTTCCTTATACAGAGGGAGTTTCAGTTCTATTCAGGAAACCTGCAGGGTTTCTGCACTACAGCATTGAAGACTGTTCGCCATTTCTATTTTCAACTGTGAACAGATAAAATAAATACAAATTTTCTGTTTTATTTTTTACTTTACGAAAGAAAAAAAAGAAAGAAAAAAAGCCTCAGTCTCCTCATTTAGGCACCATTAAACAGTTTGCTATTTCTACAGTTTTTTTTTTTTCAAGATAGAAATTATCATTTCATTTTGTATATAGTTTCTTTCATGTTTCCTATTTATCCCAAAAGAGCCCTCTCAAAGACATGGTGTTGCATTTCATACAACAGAACATAATAATGGATAATAAATTGTTTTTCTTCATCAGTGCTAGCAAAGGATATCATCTATCACCAATGAATCATAGATGACAAGCTATTTTGTATTCTATTGGCAGGTGCTTTTATTGCTTTTATCCCATCTTTGTAAAAAAAATCTTATTCATGCCTGGTCTGGTCTCTATGGCAACAAGCCATAGTACGGGTCAATGACCACTTCTCCTGCCATATCTGAAGGGTCCAGCTAACAGAGGTCAAAGTTGAGTTATTAAGACTGAGATTGTCCAGTTCAGGGTGACTTCTGACCAGTTCACTGGGAATATCTGGACTGTGCAGACATCACAGGGTCTAGCTGAGGTCTCAGGATAATCTGATTCAGATAATTCACTTCACTGTCACGTGAACTGGACGATTGGTACAAGGTAGAGCCGCCTGAGATGAGGTGTGAAGTACTGCACATTGTTAATAGAAAGCAGTGAGGTCTTTGTAAACTTCACATTGGCAGAAAAATGAACTATTGAGTTTATTATTATTATGGTTTAATTATTCTTTGGCATTTTTACTAAGTTGGAGAATTGTGTAGATTTTGAAGTTTTTATTGGGGTTTTTATTGCAGTTTTTATTGAAGATGGGGCTAGCTTTCTCAGAAAGCTGACTTAGTCTGCTAAATAAGACAAGCCATAGGAAAAGGTTATACCACAAAGGATCAAATTATCTTTAACAAAAAATGTGACATCTGACTAGACAGCAATGTATGCCTGCTAAAGTCCTTTGACGTAGAGAGGTTAACATGTTTTTTATCATTCAAGCTCATCTTCAACATCTGGCAGAAACATTAAGTCATTATTTCTATTATTACTCTTCCATTCTTTCCAGCACTTCACTTGACGCAGGATACGAAATTGTAAATACAAAGGTCGGAAAAAAACTTGTATATATTTTTCATTATCAAACTGAAAATAACAACATTTATATTTTTAGACACCAGCTGAGGGGAAATTGTCAAAAACAAGCCAGCTCAATCAGAAGATAAGAAAGGACCAATAAAAAACATAAAGAGAAGAGCCAATTGCTGAGATACTGAGGACAATTCATCATACAATGATACAAAGAACTTCAAGCTACAAACCAGTGATACTTAATAACACCTTGGAGGAGAGGAAAGGTCGCCACCTTAGAAACTAATGGACACACTATGTCCATGAGTACACAGCCAACACCAGTGAATGATGGTACCCCCCTGAACGCCACTGTGTCAGACCCGCACTCACAGCAGCACATATGGCACACTGTGGTCACACTCTCCGTGGTGGCGGCAATCGTCATCGTCGTGATTCTAGCATACAAGGTATTTCGTAGGACAGTAAGGAATACACTTTGATGAACAGCTATGCTGACATAACAGCCTAAAGTTTTGTCTGTGAACAACATCATAAACACAGATTTTTTATAATTCTTGGCGCAGGTGATATTTCGAGGACAGTCAGGGTTCCACTCTGACAAATGCAATAGCATGGAAGAACGCCTGTTCATTATGTATCTAAGCAAAGGAAAGAATTCTATGGGGAAAATGACAAATACAATATGACCATTTGCTGACATAGCAGTATTAAATAATTTCCGTTAATTACTTTTGGAACCTAGATCAAACAAGCAGGGTTACAACATGACAAGTAATTTTGCTGATATTTCATTAATTAGGGAATCTCTGACAAGGATATCAGGACGGATTCAGATGTTTGTGTAAGCACCACAGCAAACAAGATATATCTCACAACACAGATAGACACTGTCTGACAGTTATCATTATACAAGACTGTGAACATCTTAGTGTGAAATACTCATGATAAATGACCTCTCCTAGCTATAGACTCCAAAAATACAACCGAGAACATGCTAAAAACTGAATGTTAGTCAGAGAGAATTTACATCAAGACTAAGGTGGTACAAATTGGATAAAGTTCACAGAGATTTCATCCTAATAATGGATTTTCTAAATGACATTTTATGGTCTGAGATAAAGACATCAATGTCACTCGGCACCATTATCTTCTTCAAGCGACAGGGATATATTCCAGTGTTTATCTGATGTTACGATCTAAACAGAATGAAAGGTTTCATTCAGAGAAAGACATTTTTTTAGAGGACAGCAATGTGCAAATAGGCTTCTTCACATTTGTAACAGTCTACTGGAGAATAAAACCACTTCACAGAATTCTTATGAAGATCAAATGGAAGGAAATATAATGAGAAATAAAACTGTATTCAGGCCCAAAATGTAAAATGACAGTTATTTGTTGAAAGGTTACACATATCATAGTGAGGCCTAAATTTGACAATGGAGAATTTAGAAATTGACAGCTTTGGCAAACTACAGATCCTGAAGCTGAGAAATCTGCTGTCAGTAATCAATGTTAAGACCTCACACACTCTAGAGCTGTCAAAATCTGTCTTCTGATAAATTGGCAAGAGTGAAATGATAACTAACAATCACACTTTCTTTGTTTTACAAAGGGTGTTTAGACAGGTGTGGATGTATATTATTGTACATACAACCAAATTTGTAGCAGATTTTATTTTGTACAAAATAAAATGAAATATTTTTCCTCTGGGCTTTTTTTCCCCAATGTGTATTTTTCAAAAAAAAAAAAAAAAAAAAAAAAGCCCTGATATTGTCTGCTCAGCATGACCCAGGTAATCTAGTAGCTTACATGAAAGAAACTGCTAATGCACCTGGCCATTTAGACATTTTTGAAACGGATTCTAAAAAATGCTTCTTATCAAAGTGTCAATTTTTAAAACGAAAACAACATTTCATGCAAAAAAAAAAACTGATAAAAAGAAAAGTTTCATCAACTCTTGCATGCTCTAAATGTCAATTGTTTTTCTAAGAAAACTTTGGTCTAGGAATATGTTCTACATGCAAAAAGAAGAAAATCGGTAACAAAGAGAATATCTCACAATACTTTCTCCTAAGACAAAAATAGAAAATAATCATGGTATATAAATTCTGCCATATTTGATATTACAAATCCCATAGATGGTTACCTTAATAGAAAAACAGCACTTCTATCTTGCTCCCATAATCCATTTATGTTAGAAAACTCTCTTGGAGACCATACCATAATGATTATAAAACTTGTTTATATGATAAAACACACAAAAGAACAACAGATAAAATTAACAGCAATTTTTACATTATGTACAGTGATCAAATAAGTTAAATCTTATTTCAATTCTAATACCACAGGGCCCAAGTTATGACTCTGCATCCGCAGTTGAAGGGTTGGTGAGCAATAACAGTACGTCTATCCAACTAATGATAGTACTCTAAATAATGTAATAGAACATTCTTTAAGTGTTCAGTTAGTGGAGGAATATTAAAGAACCAGGCAGGCAGGTTAACAATCAGAGGTTGGCCTCTCACCCAGGAGTGCCGCACACTGGGAAGATGAAGTATGGAAACAAATTGGCCTAACAAGGAGCACATTCATCACAGCATTGATTTTTTCTGAAGTGTTTTCTACTTAAACATCCAATCTCTTAGTGCCTAAAGCCCAACTCCAATTATCTGTCCAGAATTGAGAGTGCTTGAAACTGTTTTTTTTTTTCTAATAGTGGATCTCAAAAGATTGAGAGAACCATCTCTTTCCAAACAGCTAGTGTGATTAATTGTCAGTTCAACCCAAACACTTCCCTTCAGACAAGACTTGGAAAAACTGAAATATACTCATGGGAGTTAACTTGACTTAAAAGAGAGAAGTTTCCTGCTTGAAATTAATTAACCACTTATGGAAAATGTCCAGTGTGCTTTAATGGAAATGAAAAACCCTTGTCTAACAAAACTTCTATTCAAAACATCATTTATAATTGTTGGATCATACATGGGAGAGATGAAGGAATCTTAGAATCTCAAAATTCTGTGTATTATGTAATACTGAGTTTCACAGCTAACACATATCGTCTTCAGCTGAGACTGAATTTTCCCAAAATCCAAACATTCACGCAACACTAAAATATCATAGATTTTTGTCTACATGAAATTTTCACTGTATAACTGGATGTTGAATTTCAGAGGTATTTGAGCTTTTCAGTAACAGCTGGTTACAGCAACCGTTTTCCATACCACAATCTATGGAGTCAGCTACATTGTTTCATTAAAATACAAATATTTCTCAGAGCATCACCAAAGACACAGCAAATGTTATAAAATATGAAACTCAGATTGAAATTATACAGAAATACAAGACATCACATGCTGTCATCTTTTGATCTATTCATGTACACTACACTCACCTGCCACTTTCAGTCTGACGTCCGAGGGGAGATGTTTAGCAAGGCATCCTAAAACAGTGAGAACTCTACCCATAGTGCTGAAGTCTACCTCTGAGAACAAAAGGAATCCATTAATCACATCAATTGTGTTGCAAAAGTAATCCGATATGCATAGAATTCATTTTTATAAGAATACATTGCATGCAAACCACTGTACTTTGTAAGGGGATAATGTCTCATACAAATATATATCTGTCATTCTTTGCTAGTGGTTACAAAATGTTGAATTTGGCCAAAAATTTCAAATGTTCTCTGGGAAGCTGTAATTTTGCGCTGTGATAGCTACACCATCAACGTTTATCATTTCATAAATAGGGAAACAACAGATGCCCTTTCTATGGCACACAGGGGACTTCTTACTAAACTGGAATACTGTCAAAATTCAAGTTTGCATGCTTCCTTCTGTTGCAGTAACAAAATTGATCACCTGTGGCAGACGACATGTTGGTATCCCAGTAGTCCAGAACAAAGCTTGAGTTAAACTTGCCAAGATGAGGCGCCATCTCAGCCAACAGCATCCACACCCCCTGGGAATGAAACAGCAGACGTCAGACGACATTTGTGATGAAGAGAAGTGAAACGTGGAATCTAAGTGTCATTCAGTATTCACTAGTGATAGATGGCATTTATCATTCAAAATAGCTGCTTACAACAAGACAAAATGTTTAAAGGTATTTCTAAGTTAAATTAATGGAATATATTGCTTTTACATTTAAATCGTTCATTCTAAACCAACTTCCAAGTATTCGGAATAAGTATACAAACAATAAACAAACACTACGACTATTAACAGTATTGTGAAGAAACTTACAGCATTGTTTTCTGTCCCTATATGTGTCTGCAGTACACTGACCACACTGGCCTTCAACTGACCCTGGCGAGACAGGTGTTGACAAGCCCTCTGCAGGAATCGTCTGGGAAGAAATATTACACTTATACACCCTACTGTATGAAGTTTTGATTTAGACAGTTTGGCAAATGTTACTGCCTAAACACCTAACAAACACTTGGAATTAATACTTGCAAACTGAGTCATAGATACTGGCCATAAGACTAAAAAAAACCATATCTTACCTCAGGTCCACACCTTCATTTCCAGCCATGATACCCAGAATGCTCCACGCCATCTTGTGCTCGGGCTCTGTGGACCTGAAAATGCATGGCACGATGTCAGCTTTTCTTTATCAATAACAGTGACAGTTCTGTGTGAGACCAGTAATGAGTACTGGATGTTGAAAGGTAATACTATTGCCTTTATAAATAATAACCATTGCTTAGACTGACTACTCAGCGTTCTTAAAATCAACTTTCTCAACAATCCACCAGAGAAGACAAAGTACATACTGCTCAAACAATACATTTCATTCTTCGGATCTAAATGAAATATGGATGTATAATATTTCACACAATTCAATGCCACATTTCAGAAAACTTTTCCAAACATCAGTACCAACTGAAGTTCTTGTTAGCAAACAGCAACACTGACAGATATTGTAAGTCCAGAATTGAAAATCTGCTTATATCTTCCACAAGGTTACCCCCAACAAACCATATGTCCTTTACCTGTGATAAGGCACAATGTTGTTCAGCAGAATGTCCTGCACTATCTCCATACACCTCTCCTGGGCTCCAGTCTCTCTGTCCATCACCATAGGGAGGACGCCGTCCAGCCATAAGCTGAAGAGGTAAACATTTTGACAATACAACATTACTGACTGTCTCATTATTAATAGTATTCTTTAACAGTTATCATGTCCACTACGATGGGAAGTGAGCATTGCATTAGTTAGGAAATATTGAGCATTATGTGACTCCTTTTATATTAAGGTTTAAATTTATAACATATTTCATCACACAGAGAAGCTACAGTTATTTTTCAATCAAATCAGTGGAAACTAAAGTACACATATCAGTTATGATTTAATCTTTTGAAACATCCATCCAAACATTTCATGCATCCATATTATTTCCAACAGAAAGAAAACTGTCTGTCACTTACCTCTGTACCGTCCTGTTATCTGGCATCTCCATGAGAAGTTGTGTCAGTGACATCATGGCCTGCTTCCTCACTGACAGCGCCGGGTCCTGGCATCTCTCATTTAGAATGTCCAGGTCCTGTGAAAATTAGTATGATACATGAACAGTTTAAGAAGCTTCTAAGAGATAAACATATCCATTGTAAACTAGAGGATCAGAGAGGCGATACCGCCTCCAAATATTGTACCACCGCTGGAGCAAACACATTCGTATAGACCCCCACATACACAAAATAAGGGACACAGCCACCAGTTTTGTGCTTGACAAGCTGTAAAAATGCAATCAACAAGAATTTTTAAACTATTGCGAAAAATATATATGGTACAATCAAATTTAAGTTCTTCGTAAGGTAGGTCAAGGGTCAATTTCAAGGTCACAGTAAATTGCCAGTATATGACTTCCTAT